AAATGTGTAACTCATAGATTTGATTTGGTAGTTGTACTGAGTTTTTCCAATCAGAATTCCAAATCCAGGTGCACAACAATAACCATTAAACAATACAACAACTCCTAATAGAGTAATAGTTTCATGGATTGAAAACAATGCACTTGCTTATACGTGTAACTTGCATATCATGTACATAATCACAAAAATATAATACGAAATTCATCCGTAATCCATATAAACATACGGAGTATTTCATTAAGAAGTAGTACGTTGTTACCTCTTGAGAGATTTTAGTGTGTCACGAGTTTTTTAAAAGTGGGTCCGGGAGATAATTTGCTGTTTTCAAGTTACCTGAAGTCTCTAAAAATGTTGGCCGCTAGCTTTTCTATCTTCTTTAATTGCACTTACTTTTATGGAATTGGGCCTTCTGTTGGGAATATTTTATGGTATCCAATCTAATTAAATATCTTTGTATTTGTGTAGTTATTAATTAAACGTGTAATACGGGCCACAAATGTGTATCAACCCGTTAGCTTCCTTGTAACCCGTAAGTTAGCCAACTTCACCTATAAAAGGAGGCTAACTTACGGGAACCCTAACTAACGTTCGAGGCTTTAGAGCATAAAGGCGAGATAGAGAGATTAGGTTTCCGCTGCTCTCCTTCTCCAGGGAGAGCAGAGGCTAATTCATACGGTATACCAGATTTGACTTTCATCTTCTCCATATCTTTCTATCTGCTTCTTCTTTACCTGTTATGGTTGTTGTTTGTTAAGTTTTGGGACTAACAATTGGTATCAGAGCCGAGGCGTGAAACAGGTTGAATCTATCTGCGATTTTTTGGATCTAACGAAGAACTGCTCTGCTTTTCTTCTCTTTTTCTTCATATAGAGTTTTGCTCCTGTAATCTAGTTTGTGAACGAAAAACTGTAAAAATTATGATGTTGGAATCGCCTTTCAAAACCGATTCTACAACATATCCTCTTTTTCGATTTCTGCAACTTTTCATTTTTTGAAGAGCTCTACATGAATTGCGAGTTTATGCTTATACACTGCTGCAGAAACGATTTTGACTTGAAACTGATACAGGAGAATCTCGACCTTCAGGGCTATTCAGAACAGTTTTCAGATTCTCAAAATTCAAAGTTTTCATTTTGCAGGAACTCGACATTTTGGGTCTCGAATTCCTAAACTCGCAGTTCTGATCTCGAGTTTAAAACTCGCAGTTCTGATTTCGAGTTTTGAAACTCGCAGTTCTGATCTCGAGTTTTGAAACTCGCGGTTCTGACCTCGAGTTTTAAACCTCGAGTTCTCACTTCGAGTTTTAAACCTCGAGTTCTGACCTCGAGTTTTAAACCTCGAGTTTAAACCTCAAGTTCTGACCTCGAGTTTTAAACCTCGAGTTCTGACCTCGAGTTTTAAACCTCGAGTTCTGACCTCGAGTTTTAAACATCGAGTTCTGATCTCGAGTTTTAAACCTCGAGTTCTGATCTCAAGTTTTAAACCTCGAGTTTTTAAAATTGAGAGTTTTGGAATTTCGAGTTTTAGAATTTCGAGTTTTAGGAACTCGATGTTTTGAATCTTTCAAAGTTTGCAGTTTCTTGGAACTCATAATTCGAATCTTGACATCCTTCGCAATTCATCGAAGCTTTACTTTATAGGATTTCTGAATGATTCCCTGCTTATCAAAGTTTTTAGAAGTTTTCGATGTTCTGATGTTTTTCAAACAGCAAGTTTTCGATATTATGAGGTTTTCGATGTTCCAAACATTTAGAAATTCTGAAGATTTCATTATTCTGAGGTCTGTTTTGCAGGTGGATTTCGCCATTACTCTTCAAGGCAAACTCGAAATTAAAATCTCGAGATTAGGATTTCGAGTTTTTGCCTTAGAATTCTGTTTAATTTCACATGCTCTCAAAATTCAACATCGAGAACCTCAACCTCGAAGAATTTCCTCAAAAACTTAAAATTCGAGATTTTCTGCGACACCGCACTCTTTTGGCCATAACTTTTGACTCTGTGATCCGATTTTAGCAAAAAAAAATTGTTGGAAAGCTAACGAAAAGATCTACACTTTTTCTCAGGCTATGCCCCAGAACCCATTCTCACGCGCCCTCACGTGCAGTCCTTGAGGGTTAAAACGTTAGTTTTCCGACAAACCTTGTAAATCACCGATGTCCATGTCAAAACTTAGGCAAATCTGTTCAACTTCGTTCAAAGTCAACCCTGAGGTCAAACATTTTCTAAATCTAACTGTAGAGGTCCGGAAATCGTAGATAATTCAATCAACCTCGTGTCAACGGTCATCTTACAACAATCAACAATCAACCACTGAAGCCTCCCCTAACTCATCAACATTGTGTGATCCTCAAACATGCTGAAATTCCAAATGATGAGCTTAGGGAAACCGTCATGTGTGGTACCTGTTCAGATTGCTCCACACACATGGCGGGTATGATGAGCTGTGAGCAATCAATCCTTGCACATTCTGAGGGGGAGTTTCAGTTTTCTCCTCCTGGCGCCTTACATCGACAAAGCAAGGAATCTCTCTACGGATGCAACATTCTAGGGGGAGTGTTCAATGTTATCCTCCCTGGTGCCTAACAATGACAAAGCATACCGAGTGCTCCAGTTAAGGGGGAGTACAGAGAGAAAATGAAGAATGTAATGAGAGAACATGTCCCTGTGGCTTAGTATACCCAACTAAGCATACCCAAGGGACAAAGCCGAGCATAAGTGAGTGAGTGAGCAAGTGAGTGAGTGAACATTATGAGCGTTAGAAAGCAGAAGGCTCAAGTGAGCACGAATACAATAATCAATGATGAGTCTGCTACCTCAACTGCCTGCTATGAATTGAACATTTACTCCTAGCCACTCAAATACTCTGGACAATCCCCATAGGTTCAGGACTGATTTAATCAGATCCCGGGTAGAAGTCACTGCATCTTGTCCAACGGTGCATGTTTAACCCTACCCAAGACCACTCACTTGTCTCCCAACAGACAGGTGCTTAATCATATTTCACGGAGAACCGCATCTCTCATTATTGTCTCCTTCCGAGGCAAATAATACTGACTACAATGGCCTCAGCCCCATGCCACTGAACTTTCATTGATCACGTCGTGTCTAGTTACTCACTCCCAAATATTTTGAAATTTTCTAGGACACAGACGCACTTTTTGAGTCAGTTGCAGGTCTACATGACCCGCGACAAATTCCATAGGGCTCATCTATTACAGATGTAGACCAACGATTGGAAGGAAGTCCTGCTGTTGAACCATAAGAATCACCAACATTTTCTGGCCATTGCTAAAGAGTTTATCTCTATAGTGATGATAACGGGTGTCTACACGACCCCCGGGGGGCTACGTTATCTTCTTTACATTCTGCTTGCTTTTCCTGTTTTATTTCCGCAAAATAAAAGAATAAAGACATGACGCCCTGATTCATCGGACCGTCATGAGGGGGAGAGTGGTCCACATGTTGTTAACTGTAAAAAAAATCATTCTGGGACATTTCTCTCCTCCAACACTCTCTCTACTATCTCCGCAACTCAAATGGTCAGCTACGCTCACAAGTCAACCATCATTATGTTCCGCTGTGCCACCGACAAGTTCTCCTCAAAAGCATTCATTCCAAAATAGTCAAAAAGACTACATTGTGGAGGAGACAGAGGTCAGATACTCAAACTGTTGAAGATGAATTCCATGGGCGTCCCCTATTCTTCAAAGAACATTCATTCTAGAGGCGTCACCGGACTTCATCCAAGCTGATCAAGAGCAACTTCTGGAAGGCAAGGACTACAAGCAAGATACAGAAGATCCCACAACCCCTGAAATCAATGATCAAATTGAAAAGAAGACATCCAATGGGAGATTGCAAGGATTTCTTCATAAAACCTTCTCAAGAAGTCAAGTTCAAAGACAAAGGAAACTGAATAACAACAAAGACAAAGATATCTGCGCTGCAATGCTGATTGAACACGATTGAACACCAAGGGGGAGATTGTTGGGAATATTTTATGGTGTCTAATCTAATTAAATATCTTTGTATTTGTGTAGTTATTAATTAAACGTGTAATACGGGCCACAAATGTGCATCAGCCCGTTAGCTTTCTTGTAACCCGTAAGTTAGCCAACTTCTCCTATAAAAGGAGACTAACTTACGGGGACCCTAACTAACATTTGAGGCTTTAGAGCATAGAGGCGAGATAGAGAGATTAGGTTTCCGATGGGAAGGAGAGCAACGGCCAGTTCATACGGTATACCAGATTTGGCTTTCATCTTCTCCATATCTTTCTATCTGCTTCTTTTTTACCTGTTATGATTGTTGTTTGTTAAGTTTCGGGACTAACACCTTCGAATAGTAATAGTGGTGTCATTTCCCCTTTTCGTTATACTCTTCCGTCCTGAAAAGGTTTATCAAATTGATTTTTCTTGATCAATGACAATCGATTTTGACCAATGATAGTTTTTAATACGAAATTATTTTGAATATGAAAATTATATCAAATTGTTCATTATTCAAAATATTTTCATAAAAGTATAAAATTTATAATTTATATACAAATATAGTAATTAAAATCATTATCTAAAGTTTACCATCATTGATCAAGAAAAATCAACCTGACAAACCTTTTCGGGACGGAGGTAGTATATAATGTCAACAAGTTTTTTTATATTTATAAATTCAATTAACTAATTAGGCTTATAGCTTGTTTGGTGGCCCATTTTTTCGGCTTATTATGTTTATCAACCAACTTTTTCACCAAACAAGTAATTTTTTGTTCCGCGCACTGAATTATGTAATAAGCAGAAAAAGTAAGATTAGTTTTTCCGGCTGTATTGGCTTAAATTACTGTGACATGTTTTTGTAAAGAGAAATTTGCTCCTAGTAGGACCAAATCATAGTTTTTTTTACAAAAAGGGGACTGCCTAATATTTTTCCTATTCATATCACCTATTTAGTTCTATATGAGGAAAGTTAATTATAGCTTTCCAAATTTTCCCTTCAAAGTTAAAGTAATGTACGCCGCTAACGAGTTCATTCAATGAAAATATCTTCCACCGCTAATGACTTCATTCAATGGTTTCTTTCTTCCGCAGCATCACCTTCATGTCAGCTCTGTTCTTCCGCACTGTTCCTCGGGTGTAGTTGAATTCGACAAATTGTCGGCGAATCTCCACCAACATAATCTCTACAAATTTCATGTGAATTCCACATATAGAATCACAATTGTTCTCCTCTTGACGTTGATCTTCAAAATTCTGTGAGTAATATTCGAACAAAGCTTCCAAACTTTTACAATTTCAATTAAATATTGAATATGAACGAAAATTGTTTATACTGATGTTGTTCTTAGTTTTGTTGTTATCGTCTTCTTCAAATTTTCAATATGATTCTATTCTCTCTATTTTTAATTTCCCAGGTGCAGTTGCTTGTTTTGAATTTGGTATGTGACTTTTGTATTTTCTTCGTTTTCTTTGTTCAATTAGTCTGAATATTCTATTTTATTAAATAACTATAGATTCTACATCTATAAGCTCATGCTTACTTATTTGATACACTATATTATCAATGTACATATATGTTGTTATGTGTTTTCCAACTATGCGTCGCTTTTTTATTAGTTCATTACAATTCGTTTTTGTTTTGCTTTTTAACTGCACTTATTCAATTCTGTTACTTTTTTAAGTTATAATGACAAATTTATTATTATTAATTCATTAGTCATTTTGTATGATGTTGTTAAGAACATATTGTGTTTGATTTTTTGTATTCACAGTGATTGTAAACATGTTGCTTATGCTTAAGGTGGATGGTAGTTGGGACAACTCATACGTTTTCTGTAACAAATGATGCTTTGGCTTAATAGTACATGAGGGAACATTATATGTTGACTTTGCTTTCATAGTTTTTTATGCATTGGTGAATATGTTACCAATACAAGGCTTAAAATTGCTTACCTCGTAGATTCATGTCCACCTCCTGTTCTTGTTAATGACGATTTGGCTTGGGATTTTACTTAGCTTAAAAAAATTGACAGTGACTATGTTAAGTTTCCTTTGTGTGTTGAATTGTTTACTGTTCATTCTTCTGTTAATCAACCAATGTGTTGTGAGGCTTCTGCAATTGCTCCTAATATTCCTTCCAAGTCATCAGTGATTAATATCCTAGAACAAGATATGTCTCCCAATTTTCTTCCAATTGATCTCGATGTTTCTGCCACTACTACACTTGATGATCAGCCAAATGGTTTTAGTGTTTCTGCTAATTTTAGTCATTCAATCCTCACTTACAATCCGTCAATGCCTTTGGAAGATACACATTTATCTTCTAATCAAGTCTCAAATTCAGCTTGTCCTTTTGATCCTTTGGATTATGATTTAATAATTTCTAGGAGTTCCGGTGATACTTCTTCAAGTCAACTTGTTAGTTTGGATTCAGATGGTCATTTTGATTCACTCTTTGAAGTTATTACTCACTTCCATCCAACTCATATAGACAAACATGTTGTATACAAAACAAAAAAGGCTTTAGATTACAATTTAAAGGTTTATGCCATTTCAAATCATTTTCAATATAAGACCAAAACGTCAACCAAGAAAGTATTGCATGTTATTTGTGTTGATGTTGAGAATTGCATCTGGACTGTTCGTGGAGTGAAGTTGTCTGGAAGTCGCATGTTCCAAATTAGGAGGTACTTGTCTTCTGATTTTTTACTTTATTGACTAGTTATTGTCTCTTTTTGTCTACTTAATGTCATTTACTGTTTTCAGGTTCGATTCTGATCATACATGTTCCATTGATTTTTGACAAGGTCGGCATCATCAAGCCACGTCCGATGTTATTGCAGAGCTTATTAAACACCAGTATGCAGATGCATCTCGAAAACCGTATGCTCCTATTGATATTGTGGTGAACATGAATAGAGATTATGGTGTTATTCTTCCTTACAAAAAAACATGGAATGTGAACAAAATGGTTCAGAAGAAATTAATGAGTTCAAATGATGAGTCTTACCAACTTATGCCATCCATTGCGCATGTTCAAGAACAAAAAATCCAGGCTCAAAGTTTTTCCCCAAGCTCAAAGATCTTACTTGTTATTGATTATGATGATCATTTTAAGTATTTTATCATGTCATTACATCCATGGTTTGAAGGTTGGAAACACTATGTTCTAGTCCTTATTATTGATGGTTCTTTCATGAAGGCTTGTTATAAAGGCACATTATTAACAACATGCGTTCAGGATGCTAATGACCAGATATTCGCGTTGGCGTTTGGTGTATGTGACACTGAACGGAAGGACACATGCATGGCTTTGGTTTTTTAAAATGCTCAAGGAAACCCTTTCTCATAGAGATGACTTATTTATTGTCTCATATCGCCATGAGGGGATTATTCATGTAGCAAGGGTAGTCTTTCCACACGGTGAACATGACTACTGTGTTCAAGATATTTAGGGAACATTATGACAACGTTCAGAGGTTGTGATGGGTTGGCATGGAATTCACAAACATTTACTATCACGACAACTTTTGTAATTTACTAACATTTACTATCATCTATGTCAATCAATTTTATGACATTTACTGTCATTTATGTCATTCTGTTTTATGAATATTCAATGGAATGACTTATTGTTGATGTTTTTACCAATATATATTACTGTTGTCACTTTTTTTATCTAGTATTGTTACTCATTTAGAGGTTCTATATCTTTATTGTCTTTTTATTCTCTAAATATCGACTCGAGTTACATAATTAATGTCTAATTTGAATATAAAATTTCTTACCAACCATCTCTTTTTTCCAATACATTCAAGTATTACAAACTCCCTTATGTGAGGCACATGAAGTTATAAACTAGCATCATTAAAAGACAATAGATTAGTTTTTGACATCTTATTTGTATTTCAAATATTGAAGCCACCTTTACATGGTATAACTAAAATCTTGATTTCTTAATTAACTACTTTTGATACTTCCTCTTTAAACAATTTGACTATAAAGGACAAAGTATTAACAAAAAATACTTCCTCTACATATTTGGATTTTGACTTGTAAAACAAAAAATACATGGCATTAAGTGTAATTTAATGTCTCCACGGTGGCATAAAATAGACATTAATATGCATCTTCATATAACACTTTTGCTTGCATAAGTGCAGTTTAACTACTTAATACATCCAAATATGAATCAGATGCCTTAAAAGTACATATTAAAGAGCATAAATGTCCTTCCTTTTGTACTTCTTTTGGACATTGCTTGAGTGATTTTTTAGCAACCCCTCTGCAAATAAAATAAATCTTCACTTTATGCACATCCTCCATATAAGGCTTCTCTTTTGGATCTTCTGTAAATGGTCTTGTTACCGGACTTGTGTCACTATCTGCTTTCTCTCTTTTCTTCATTGCCTTCTTATTTTATTCTTCTTCATTTCAGTTGCTGGATTGGGTGTGTATCTTTCTGGACTTCTAATAATAGTTCTCTTTGGCCGTTCCAGCACATTTCCTCCTCTTCAACCATTCTTGTTTTCTCCTGTACCTGTATAAGCATTTGGTGTAGCACATCATTATCAGAATTTTCAGTTTTTAGCTTAGCTTTAGTGTATTCGTTTAGGCCTATACACATTTTTCTTACTTATGTTTTTCCATGGTAATATGCCTATAAATAAATTCATACCTTTTTTGTCATCTATGAGAACATATCCTTCTCATATCCGTTACTTGGAAGTGATCATTAACACTCTCAATCTGTACTTCTCAGGACATTTCACACTTGGCTGGTTCCCAATTAAGAAGTTAGCAATTAAATGCAGAACTGCCAACTTTACCTTATCTAAAGGCTGTTTATTCACCAATATATATGTTATATCAAACTCTTCAAAAGCTCTCTTAATGTATTTCCTTGATACATTATCCCTTTAGTTAACAAAACCTTTTCCATATGTCACCTTTTGTCTTTGTAGATATCACAAGTTTTGTCAAGCAGTCTTCTTCTACATGATCTTACAATGACCTGATATATACACAAATTCAATAATATATAAGGTACAATGTTGGTAGAATATTAAACTTGTTATATTTGTTAAACTAAACTAGTCAATGTAGTATTCTGCTCTTTATCATTTCTTTTCTATACAAATTGATCAATCTGTCATTTTTTGGCATTTATAAAGCTCGATTTGAAGTCATAATTCCATCTAAAGCATATTAAACTAACCAACAGTATAAAGATGACAATGAAGAACATATGAAAACCAGAATCAAATTGCATTCTGATTTTAATTTGAAGCCAATAATTCTGTCTCAAACATATTAAACTGACCAAGAGTATAAAGATGACAATGAACACTATATGTAAACCACAATCAAATTCCAAGTTAGTAATGCATTCTGATTCTAATTTCATGTCAATAATTCTGTCTCAAACATACAAAACTGATCGAGAGTCTGAAGATGTCAATGAACAATATATGAAAACCACATTCAAATTCTAGGTCAGTGATGCATTTCTTATTCTAATTTCAAGTGAATAATTCTGTCTCAAACATACTAAATTGACTGAGAGTATAAAAAATGACAATGAACAATATATGGAAATCACAATCAAATTCCAAGTTAGTAATGCATTCTGATTGTAATTTCAAGTCGATAATTCCGTCTCAAACATACAAAACTGACCAAGAGTATGAACCTCTTCTTTGTCAAAAACTTAAACAAAATAGTAAGTACAGAGAATACCTTGCCAAATGGAAGAATGTCTTCTTTGTCTTCCTTCTTCTTCTTTTGTTTTTCGTTGGTCGTTTCATTCTTCTCCTTCGTCTCAAAATCACTATCCAAAACTTCATTATCGGTTAATTGGTTGTCTTCATTTTTGTCGTCTGATCTCATCTTTCACTTTCCATGCTTGTTATGTGTATGTGTTCTTCGCTTTGCTCTACTCTTCTTCAATTGTACTTCAATTACACTTAAAGCTCGACTGTTTTATTGTCTTGGCCCCTTTGTTCTTCGTTAGCGGTGAAGTATTCACCGTTGGGAAGAAGCTTTTGTTCAAATGTTTAACGGAAAAATTTCAGAAAGGTTTGGGAATCGGTGAAAGATGTCATGTGGATGGTGGCGGTTGTAAGGTTATTTTTGTCTATCCATCTTAATTTAGGTCTTAGGAGTTTCGGTTGTCTTATTTTTGGAAATTTGGTGACTTTCGGGTCTTATTTGTAAAATTTTCCCTTTTGTAAAAGCTAAAGTTAACTGGTTACGTACAGAAAGTCTTGAGTACTACTCCGTATTGACATTGCACGCTAGAATGAAGGAAAGAATGTCGGAAAAGGAGCAAAGTAGACCTCCGGTCGGAGGCTGCAATCTCGAATTGAATAAATTTTGAATAATTTTTTTATTGTGCTTAGTATTCCCCTTCATTTCCATTTTTTGGAATCGATTAAACTCTGAGGATCCTAAAAATGCTTTCCCATTCTTCCTTGGATCTTCAAACCTCACAAAAACCCAAAAACTTCAACTTCCAATCCCAAATCTTAGGGAACCCTTGTTTCTGGCTATTCTCCACATTTCTCTTCATCCAAGTTATCGTCATTTTCTTTAGCCGGAATTCACCGCTCTCACCGGACGCTCATCCTCATGCTCAGCCCCATTCCCCCATCCAGACAGTCCCTATTCCGGCCACTGCAAGGGTCGGAGACGCCGCTGCTCAGCCGCCGAAAGTCGATGCCTGTGAGCACGGCAGGGTTTACGTCTACGACCTGCCACCCATGCTTAACAGGGATTTAATTTTGAAGGATTGCACGGATCTGGATCGGTGGAATTGGCTGTGTGGGATTAGCAGTATGAACGGTGGATACGGAAAGAGGAAGAGAGAGTTGACCGGAATCTTACCGAAAGATGTCGCGACGGCGTGGTATCAGACGAATCAGTTCTCGGCGGGAGTGATTTATCACCACCGGCTCCTGAACTACCGGTGTCGAACGATGGAGCCGGAATCGGCTACGGCGTTCTACATTCCTTTCTACGCCGGACTCGCGGTTGGGAAGTATTTGTGGATGGATGATATCGAAAAGCGCGATTGGCATTGCCATATGATGCTCAAGTGGGTCCAGAATCAAACCTACTGGAAGAAATCCAAAGGCTCAGATCATTTCCTCACGATCGGACGAATCACGTGGGACTTCCGGCGATTAGCGGCTGCGGACCAGAAATGGGGATCCGCCCTCCTCAACCTGCCGGAGATGAAGAACGTCTCGCGCTTCACTCACGAATCGGCCGCGTGGGACACATACGACGTCAGTGTGCCTTACCCCACCGGATTCCACCCGAGCACCGAGTCGCAGCTCCGCCGATGGCAGCGGTTCGTCCTCACGCGCAACCGCACCAGTCTGTTCTCCTTCATCGGAGCCACGCGCGACAGCGTCAAGGGAGACTTCAGAAACCTCCTGATGCAGTACTGCCGGAACGAGTCCGACGTCAGCCGAATCGTCGATTGCGCGGTGACTCAGTGCTACGTCTACCCTTACGCAATCCAAGACGCCTTCCTGAGCTCGGATTTCTGCCTCCAACCCGCTGGGAACAGCAAGACGCGGCGGTCGGTGTTCGATTGTATGATCTCCGGTTCGATTCCGGTGTTTTTCTGGCGGGAGACGGCTTACGAACAGTACCAGTGGTTCTTACTGGAGGATCCAGAGAGCTACTCTGTCTTCATAGATCACAACAGTGTGAGGAACGGGTCGGCGTCCATAAGAGGGATCTTAGAGAAGTATAGCAAAGAGAAGATCAGGGAATTGAGGGAGAAATTGGTGGAGATTATGCCCAAATTGATGTATGCAAGGCCGGGAAGAGGACTGAAGAACGTGAAAGATGCTTTTGATGTGGCGGTTGAAGGAGTAATGAGAAGAATCAAGGAGGCCAAGGAATGGGACGAGTTTGTCGATGAAATTGAACCTTGAAGATGACACTTTTTTTGGTAAAGTTCCGTTTGGTAGCCATTTCTTACGTCAAACACTTTTATACAATCCACCCAAATGAGAGAAGGTTTTTTTAACTCTAGTCAAACACAACCTTAAACCATTTACATAGGAGCCCTAATCTTGGCAAATTATACCGTACACCTGCATTTACGGTTCTCACCGTACATCTGAGTATTTTTGAAATTATTATCAACTTCTCTCAGTCCATCGTCCGCATCTGTGTTGCCCAGATTCCTTCTCTCAGGTCGTT